GGTATGCCTTGGATCCTACTTCTGTTGTTGTCTATTTGTCAAAGTGTAGATCAGTGGACTGAGGGCCTCCTGGGAACATTTTGTTTCTACTTTGGTCTAGGACATAACTCTGGCAGACAGTTTGATCATTTACCATTGCTCTATTTTAAGCAAAATGTCCTTGTGTGATTTATTCCCAATGACACCAACCTGCTGCAAGACTCTTTGGAGTTAACCAATTTGGTCCTCCCTCCTAAACGCATACCCTAAGTGACTGTCTTTCAGAGTCAGCTGGGAGGTTGCTGAAAGTGATAACATTCCTTTCTCTCAACCACAGGGAAAACTGGGGTCGTTTCTTTCAAGGCATAAACAAGAGAAGCATCAGCGGCAGCAGCTGCTGGCATGCCAGATTGTTAAATGTGTGGTCCAAGCTGGGGAATGTTGAGGGGGCTTTGCTATCTTGATTCTCTCAGCTCTTCACTTCCTGGAGAGGGAGTCCAGAGATGTGTGGCTGGCCTGTATCAGAGGCAGGGGTGAGAGGATGAGGATGAATGCCTGGTCATCTCTTTGTGACAAGTGACTTCCACACCTGCCAGTCCCATGTGTGAGGAGGAGCTGGAACGCTTGCAAGCATTGCTCATGCCTATGGAAGTATATGAGGAAAAGGCAGACTAGGAGGCGTGGGATACCCCCACCTAGTAGCTTCACTCCAAGGTGAAGGTGGGATTGGGAAGAATGCAAGGCTTTCTGGCAGTGTTCTCTGTCCTCTGGCCTTGTTTTGTACCACAGAGCAACAGTCATGACTTTTAGTAACCAGGCACAGGCAGTAACCAATCAGAGTGAAGAAGGGCCTATTCCTGGGGACTTTTACAGTCTCTGGCTGTAGACTGCTAACTGCTGGGTGGTAGGATGAAGAAGATATCTGGGGGAAAAGTCTGAGTGTGGGAGGAGAGAGGCCTCAGGGAGCTCTGATCACCTGCAATTCTTATTGGCACAGACCTATTTCAATAATTTTAACAAGCAGTGTGGCCACACTCTTGCTGAATGTTAGAACCAAATGTCAGCTCTACTCTGCCCATGACAAAGGTGGGTGAGAGCCTCCTATTTTATGTGTTTCACAGCTTGCTAAAAACTCAGATTCCTAGTTTTTGCCTCAAAATTGCTGAAAATGACTCTTGGTCCCGGGGTAGGATTGCTGTACTATGGAAGTCTGAACATTCCAGACTAGTTATTGTTAAGGACTCAGTGCTAACTTTTCTTTTCTTTTAGAGACAGGCTCTCCTTTTAGCCCCAGCTGGCTAGGAACTCACTATGTAGACCAGACTGGCCTTGATCTTACAGAGGTCCACTTGCCTGTGCCTCCCAAGTGCTGGATCCAAGGTGTGTGCTACTACACCTGGCTGACAGGGGTTTGTCATTTGAGAGATGGCATCCAAGGGGTTGAGAACTATGCCTAAATTAAGCACAGGTCACGTGACAGGTGAAGCAGTATGTGAGGACTGGCACACTGATGAGCGCATGCCCATTTTCCTGAAACCACTTTGACTCTGACCCATATGCCCTGGATTGCTGCATCTCTAGGAAGTGGGCATGGAGTGGATGGACCTCTGACTTTACAAGAGATGCTGACAGTCAGAGTTGTATTTTGAGTTTGTTTTCTGATTCACCAAGTCGTAGATGGGGAACTGCTTCAAACTCTTCTGTTCTAAGAGTCCTATCTCAGGGATGAGTGAAGGGTGGGGGATAAGGCTGGTCCCACACAGGAAAGGAAGAAGGTAAACCCTAAGGGAGGATCTTGATGCTGCTTATGTGCTCCTTTTCTCAACATGGCCCTTAGAGGCTGTCCTTCTCAGTTGTCCTCCCACTTCCTCCAAACAAATTCTACCATTAGCCTCTTTGGTACCAGGGTCTGAGCCTAAAGCAACAGGGCACCTTTCCTAGGGGCCTCTGAGTCTTAGGTTGGGAGGTACAGCATGCACAGGAAGGAATTTTCACTTCAGACGTGAACGTTGGTTTCTATGTGGGATCTCTGGAATGTTCTACCAAGGAGTAGATTCCTCAGTGGAACTTAGTTTGAGAGCCACATCTAACCCCAAATGGCCAAAAACTCACCCTCTACTCAGAACCCTCTATATCCCATTACTTTTTCTTTCTGACCCTTGCTTTTCATTTAAGACTCAGACTATGTTCTGATCTCTGAGACCAGGCTATGTTGGTTTCCTTTTAATCCTGCTACGCTGGGCAGACCCTTATTTTAGAATTTCCCACCTGGAATTTCAAAGATGTATTTTCTTAAAAACAACTAAGTCTAGCATATTTAGATATTCACTAGGCATTGTTTAAAATCACATTATCTCAGACAATCTCCACAATGGCTCAGTGAGGTTGGCACTATTATTCCTACTTAAGAAAAGGGGCTGGAGAGATGGTTTAGTGGTTAAGAGTTGCTCTTGCAGAGGACTCAGGTTTAATTACTAGCACCCACATGGCAGCTAACAACCATCCTTAACTCCAGTTCCAGGGGATCCAATGCCCTTTCCTGGCTTCTGTGGGACTTCACATGACATGGGTGTACTTACATACATGCAGGCAAAATACTCATACACATAAAAATAAATTTAGAAAATAAAGGAAGATCTGTGAGGTGAAATACTTTGACCTGTATCACATGCCCAGATAAAGATTTGAACCGAGTTTGTGTACAGCAAAACCTGCTGAGTTTTGCATTTGTAGGCAAGCTGTACTGTGCCTCCTCCTAGCAGCCGGGAATCTCACTGTTCTGGTGTTGAGGATGGTCATTTGGTTCATGTACCATGGTGCCCAGACTGGGTTTGGTTATTGGCTAGTTTGGGTTCACATCCTTGCTTTGGCCAGTCTGTGGCCAATTTTCAAACCTCCATTTTATTAGTTCTATAATGGGGACAATTGTCCTAAAAGTTTTGTGGAAATGACACAGGAGGACAGATGTATGATCCTTGTTGCTGTGCCCAGCATGGATAGTAAATGTCAGAAATTTGTTGATGAAATACATGAGTTAAAAGTGCAAGTGAAATAAATTTTTATTTGGAAATATATCACCCTGTCCTTTTCAAGCATTCACCAAGCTCTACAAGATGGGGTTTGGTCTGGGAAGGAGTTTGATGCTGGGCGGATGAAAGGTCTAGGTGCCATGGGGTGGCAGGCTTTGGAAGTTTGTTGGCTTCTCAGGGAGATTTTCCTGTTGAGATAGTGGACAGTGAAAGACTTCTGTTTCATGCTCCATTTTCATTTCCATTTCACGGGCATGTCTCCATTGCCCCTTATACAACCTGCTTCATAGCCACAAAAGTGAAAAAAAGAATTAACTGGACCCGTTGCCACTGAGGAATGGGATAAATACTTGATTGGCTATGTGTCTACCTCTCTGGTGTAGAGTAACTGCCATGATTATTGAGAATGATTTGGGGGTGAAGGTGAGGCCTAAGTACTCATACTTTGGATAAATCATAGTGTGTTTCTGACCTTGTGACTGTCCTAACTGCACAGAGTTGGACATGTTGATTTTGTTGTGTATACTTGAGTCAGTATTTCACAAAAATTCAAGAATAACATGTTGCTATGGGCTACACCAACCCCTAAGATTTGACACATATGCTTTATTCCTTGGCAGGATTATGGTCTTGTTTTGTTCTGTTAAGGTCTGGAAAAGCCTACAGATAATTCAGTTTGTTGAGTGTGTGGGTGGGTGGAAGATATATGTTCACTGTCCTAAGACCTGCAAGAATAGTCTGTGGGAAAGGTCTAATTAGACCTGCCTTTTTTTAAAATGGCAACCAGCCCTTAGTAGCAAATGGCATTTATGTGTCAAAGTGTCCACATTGATGGGCATTCGATGAATGTTAAATCACAACAATTATGTTTAATGAGAACTAATGGGCTGTCTCAGAGCATGGCCCTGGCTCCCTGAGCTACCTCCTCACCCTGTTTACAAGGCTCTGCCTGGCTGGTCCTGCTCACTTCAGCCCATCCTGGTGAAGTCACCTAATTTTGACCCTTCTCCACTGCAGACTCTGTCCTTTTTTCTCCATCATCAGTAATGCAAATATTTCTCCCCACCACACCTCTTTCATTTTCTTCCTTATGTAGCCCTGTTTGTCCCTGCCCCCTTCTAGATTAGCTTTGCTCACCCTTCATTTGCTCCTCCTATCTCCCCCTTCCTCTCCAACCCACTGTCCAGTTCCTTTGATGGTAGCCTTCCTCTGGGAGGCACCCCTCCCAGCTTTCCCATTGTCTTATGGAGGAAACAAGTCATCTGCCCCTGAAGAGAAGAAAGGGGGGGGCAGCAACAATGCTGCAATGCAAACAGAATTTGTATCTAAACTCAGGCCCCATTCAAGATCGTTTTTAAGCACTCTTTGAGGGGAAGATGAAAGGCCAATAATACCATACGGCTCCGATCTGTGGCTCCCTGCTCCCCGATTACCTACTGTGTAGGATAGGAGAAACAATTTACGATAATGTTTTGGTATTTTGTAGTCAGCTTCGCCCCCCCCCGCAACCTTGCAAACTCAGGAAGTAACTTCCTCTAGTTTTAGTTGGTTGTCAGAATGTTCAAACTAGCTATCTCATACCATTCCCCTCAATTCTTCCTTTGCAGCTGGAATTGTAACTGTGAGATGAAAGGGCCATGGCCTCGGAAGAGAGGAGAAGCTGTTGTGCTGTGAGGAGATGATGGTGATGAGGTCAAAGAAGCAATTCAGACAATCCCACCTTTGCTATACTTCCAGTTATTCCTTTTAGGATACCATGATGTTCTATATAGAGCACACAAGATATGAGGCTAAACTTGCCAGCTGAGGACATAGGCATGGCATGACCCTCTCCACTCTTTGGCCTGAGCAATGGCTTGGCTGCATCAAAGCACTAAGTTTAGAAGGCCACTCAAAGCAGGGCAGGAATTCCCACCTTCTCATTCCTGAAGGGTAAAATGAGAGGGCAAGGACCCATGCTTGAGTCCCCAAAGAATGGCAGGACGCCTGTAGTGGAGGCAGACTGTATTTAAATGCAATTCACGTCTTTTGTGTCTAAGAAAAGCCACCTGTAGATTCATTTGCTTGGAAATATGGTCTGTGCGGCTGAAGCCGTGGACACTGGGGGCATGGTCTTGCTAAAAGCTGACTTTCTCCGCAGGTCTGTCTGCTGTCCGGAGTGGCAGCCGCTTCGGTGGGCAAATAGGGTGGTCATCTCTGGGCCGGAGGGAGTTGCTTCAGGCTGAGACCCCTTCGGGGTGGCTGGCTGTTCGTGCTTTCCGGAGGTGGGATGGGCGGTGTAATGTTTGGCGGGAGGAGGGCTGTGATTCTGAAACCTCACGGTTTTGACTTGCTGTAAGAGAATGGAGAGCAAAGGAATGTGGATGAGACGTGCTGTTTCCCGTGATGGGATTCGTGTGGCTTCTCTACATTTGTCCCCACTTGAAAGACCTCATTTATGTGGTGCTCATTCGTCAAGTATTTGTGTCTTCTGTGCATCATGCACCATGTCAGGTGCTGTTTAGAAAACCACCCCTGGCTGATAGAAAATTATAACCAGTCTGCGGTGGGAGAAGCATAACCTGCTGAGGTTGCAGAATAGCACCTAACAGGCAGTCAGGCCTTCCTAGAGGCAGACGGACTTCAAGAACAAATAGGAATAATCTGGGAGAAATAGGGCTGGTATATCAGCCTGTAAAAAAGACCCCAGGCAGGAGGGTATGATCGCTCCCGGAAAATATAAGTTCACCTTCCCCCGCCCCTCTGCCTTTCCTTAAAAGTCTGTATGACACCTGGCTCTTCCTTGTGACTGCTGGTGATCCCATTTCTATAATGACCTCAGTGCAGAGCTGGCTCCCTGGACACCTGCTGCTTCCATCGATCCTTCAGAATGCTGGCTGACTTCTCCACACATTAAGATGGTGAGACTGCATATTAGACCAGGATTTCATACATAACTTTAAAAGATCAAAGATAGCTGGCTATGGTGGCACATACCTTCAACCCCAGCACTTGGGAGGCAGAGGCAAGCAGATCTCTGAGACCAGCTTGGCCTACATAGTGAGTTTCAGGTCAGCTGAAGCTACAGGGAGACCCTGCCTCAAAAAACAAAACAAAACAAAACAAACAAAAAAACCTAAAACAAATAAACAAAAAACAAAATAAAAGATCAAAGATCCAGGGTCTGGAGAGATGACTCAGTGATTAAAAGTGCTGGCTGCACTTCGGTTCCCAGCACACACATGGGGACATCATCATCATCTGTGACGGGACCTCTGTGAGCCTTATATGCACATGGTGCACTCACATACATGCAGGCAAAACACTTAAACACATAAAATAAAAATAAATATTACAAAAAGAAAATGAAAAGACCAAAGATCCAGAGTCAGATGTGGTAGCACAGGCACTTGGAGTGCTGAGGCAGGGGGATTGTGAATTTGAGGCCAGTTTGGACTATATATCTAAAATCTGTCTCAAGCGAAACAAAACCTAAAAACAACAACAACAACAAAAATCCCCCAAATTACAAGATCTGGACCTATACCAATTTTGGGGACCCTTGGCTGAGCTGAGGAGCAGCTCCCTTTGTTATGAGATCTTGTCTCTTCTGAGCTTCAAGCCCCACAATGCTCTCCTTCCTTTCACTTCCCCAGCTGGTTACGGACCCCCTGGCAATTACAGGTATTTGTTTTGGCCAGCTGCTGTCTCTGTCTTGGGGCTTAATAAAGTGTCCTTTGGGTGCTACTTCCTGGGAATGATTTCTTTGTTCCATGAAATTCAATCATTTTATCTTCAAGTTTCCTCATACTTTCTGATTCTCACCTTATCTAGTGGGATCTGGGGACTTATAAAACATGTATAGTTTGAGGGCTGTGTCCAGTTAGTTGGGTTATTGGATAACCAGGGCATAGAAAACTTTAAATTTCATGAACGTGGAAATTGAAATAAAGAACTCCCAAACACTTATGTCAGTCACACTAACTTTTCCAAATGCCTTTTCTTATAAGTTTAATGTAAAGAACCTGGGTTTTCGTATCAGATCTGGATGTCAGCTGTGTCCTCGAGTCTTGATTTCCTCATGTTAAGTGAGGATGAAAATCATACCTAGAGGGGTTAATGAGATGGGACATGTAGAATACTTAGCACAGGGTCCACTAACAGTGTTTAGTATTTAGTAAATGCTTAACCAATAGGAAGAAGCGACATCCTCTGTCCATTTGGAGGGGATTGGATGATGATAAAATGGAGGTGTAGGTGATGGTGCTGGAGATGTGATTGGTGTGGGTGGTGATACTCTGTAAACTGAAGGCTCACAGTGAGCTGCATCTGAGTCCCTTAATGTTACAATTTCCTTCTGACCATCTCTCTTCAAGGATCTTACAAAAACCCCCATCTTCTAAAGTACAAAAAAAAAAAAAAAAAAAAAAAAAAAAAAAAAACAGATCTGATTCCACAGAGGTCACAATAATGTTTGTGTGATCATTTGATGTGATTTTGATGTTGGTTAAATTCTCCTGTGTCTCCGTTGCTCCTTTTGTCTGATGAAAAATTATGTCAAGCCCTGTGTAACCACTTCACATATCTTATGTCATTTAATCTCCTCTCCAAGCTTATGTGTGGTCATGATTATTATTATTTATATGAGTTAGGAAAATAAATAAATAGATAAGGTCCCAGAAAGGTAAATGTTCTGGCCAAATCCACCTAGCCAGAGTGTAGTTCGAATCAAGATTTGTCTGATGCCAAAGCCATGTTTTCTCCAGGCTGTCTCTGGATCTCAAAAGAAGCATGCATAAAGGAAATGAATAGCCTGTCTAGCCAGGGGAAGGCACAAGTGGTTGAGTATGGGGTTGTTATATGTGAGGATTTTAATAGATGCTGCCAGTTTGGTTGGTGATACCCATTAACATCAAAGTCTTGTGGTGTGCAAAGTTGGGAGGCTAAAGAATCAGGTTCCCAATGTCATTCCACTCCTACCTTTTCGGTGCCATTTCTTGAGTTTTCTGGTTTCACTAGGATAGAGGGTGGGGCAGATGCAGGTGGTTTGGGTGGTGGCTCACTCTTGATGGGGATTTCTTTGCCTTCCATGATGAGGGAATTCGCTGCCGAGTGGATCCTGGTCTCACTGCCTCTGCTGATGCAGGTGAGGGCAGGCTCCCCAGTGGGAACAGGCTTGGGCCCCATCTCCACCATCACCGGTGATGGAGAGGGGGCAATCCCTTGTGGCTGGTAGAACTGGAACTGCTGAGGTCGGACCACCATGGTGGGGCTGCGTCTGAGGGAGCCCACCATGAGGGTGGGGATCCCTGACTGGACTGGTCTCTGCAGGGATCCATCTGGGGGATTACAGGACAGAGAGATCAGCAAGAGTGGCTGACAGCAGGTTGAGTGAGGGCTGGTTGTGCCATGTGTCCTGATATCCTAGAATAGTTAAGTGCTATCCTAACTTGACTGTGCTCACATTCTCTTGGGGCCTATTCTCTTTTTAGTGCCATTTGCTGATGCTGGCAGCAGGTAACTGTCTAGTTGAATGCTATGTGAGGTGTTAGAAGGTATATTGCTTCAATTCACATTCTATTCACACACACACACACACACACAGACACACAGACAGACACACACACACAAACACACACCTCTAGTCTTTTCCTGCAGCTCTTTTTTTCTTTTTCATTTTTTCTTCCTGCAGCTCTTTAAGATGGCAAAAGAACACACTAACTTCACAGTGAGCAGATATAGAGCCTGACAGACCAAGGAGGAAACAAAAGAGCCAGAGACAGAAAGAAGAAAGGAAGGACCACAAGAGGCTGACCACAGAGAAGGAAGAAGGGAAAAGGGAGAGGAGGACTGCAGCTATCTACTTGCTGAAGACAACTCTGATCGAAACATTAGGCATGAGGTGTGGGGATGCTCTGTGGGCGCTGCAGGGAAGAAAGGTATGTGGACACAATATGTGTGTGTGTGTGTGTGTGTGTGTGTGTGTGTGTGTGTGTGGCATGAGGTGTGGGGATGCTCTGTGGGGGCTGCAGGGAAGAAAGGTATGTGGACACAATAGTGTGTGTGTGTGTGTGTGTGTGTGTGTGTGTGTGTGTGTGAGAGAGAGAGAGAGAGAGAAACAGGACACTAGGGAGAGGCAGATTTAGAAATATTATTCCAGAGTTAGGCTCTGTGTGGATGAGCTCTGCAAAATTTTATGGCATAGGATCTATTCAGACCTCCTTCCTAGGAGCCTGGGACAAGTAAGCCATGTCGGTTACCTGTACCTTAGTTTCTATTTGTAAACTAGAGCTGACAGCAGTCCACCACAGGGCTGTTGTGAGGATTGCACCTTAGAAGAAATACAAAATGTTAGACAGAGCTCAAATGTCACAGGTGCTGTTGATGGTCATTATTTTTACGTAAAGGACAGCACTTCCTAGAAATGCTAAATCCAGAGTATAGGCTTGCCCCTTACAGTGGAGATCATTAAAAAAAAAATGAAGATAGTCCTCCCTCAGTAAAAGAAAGCCAAATCCTCCCCTGAGATTCTCCAAAGAGAGGAGGTTCCCATCTCTTGGGCATAAGTCCTGTAGGTGATCAGGGGAATGAGAGGTTCCTTGCTTCTGGGGACAGGATGGGGAAGTCACCCCTGAGTAACACCGTGGGCCATTTCTCAAAGGGTCTCCAAGTATTTAAAGAAACATGTTATATTCTAGCCAGAGATGTTGATCTTTCCTATACTCCATGGACATGTTTGAATCAGTCATTTGTGTCTAGCATAGGCAGCCTGAGCCAAGGCCTCCCTCTGTGTTATGGCCATGACTCTTCAAGCCTGATGTGAACATGAAAACCAGAGCATTCACTAGGCACAGCTGCTACTCTAGCTTCTGTGAGCAAGCCTGTCACCATTTGCTCAAGTCTGACCTTTCTGCTTAGACATTTATTTTTCCACTGACAGCCCTATGAGTGCACATGGTAAATCTCCCATCACTTCTCTTTGCTTTGGGGAAATTGATAGTTTGACCAGCCTCACCCAGGGAAAAGGGAGAAAGGGAAAGCTTCTGGAATGACTAGGAAAGGTAAAACAATGCTAGATATGTTTTTAGACCCCTATAGATGAGGGAAAAATTGGCTTCTTGCCTATTTATCTTGTCTGTTTTTAATTTTCAAGAGATCTTAAAAAAAGCAAATATTCTTGAGAGTTTATGTGCCAGACACTGTATTGTCAGTCTAATGTAGGTTATTTTGTTAAATCTGATAGCAGCAATATGCTGACATTGTATAATATAGTAGTGGTGATGCACTAGGTGTCTTTTTTTTTTTTTTTTGGTATTTTCGAGACAGGGTCTCCCTGTAGCCGCAACTGACTGGCCTGGAACTCACTATGTAGACCAGTCTAGCCTGAAACTCAGAGGGATTCACCTGCTTCTGCAGTGCTGGAATTAAAGGCAGGCACTACCACATCCAGCCGGGTGTCATTCTTATATCCATTTTATTAAATGAGGAAACTGAAGAGATTAGTAACTTGCACAAGACTATTGTAGTGATGGTGGTGTGTGTGTGTATTGAGAGAAGCAAGGAAGAAGGGGCTAAAGGCCGAGCAGAAGGTAGGGATGGGTGCAGTGAAGAAGCCATGCAGGACAGGAAGTCTGGGACAGAGTAGACACTTGATTTCCTTTTTCCTCGGGGACTTTTCTTTGTGGCATGTTGTTCCTTAAGCTATTCTGCCTTGTGTTGCATTTCATGTTTAATCATTTGTCAGAGCCTGTTTAAATTGGCAGACATGGAATAAAACATATGTTCTGCACGTGTGTGGTTACAGGTGAAAGAAACTTGATGTTTTGTAGAACAAGGTTTCAAATTCTTTAGAATGCCCCCAAATGAAATCTTATGTAGAGATTCAATATGTGGGGATTTTTTTTTTTTTTTTCTGAGACAGTGTCTTTCACTATATTGCCTTGGCAGGCCTGGAACTTGCTATGTAGCACAAGCTGGCCTCAGACTCACAGAGATCCACCTGCCTTTGCTGGGATTAAAGGCATGAGTTACCATACCTGGCTTTCAATATATTGAAATATTAATAAAGGCATGGGTCTTAAAGTGATAGGTCTGTATGTACTGCCACATGTCCAGTGTGGCTATAGGAAAAGAAAAGTAAGGTATAGAACATCATAGGGAGTGTGAGTAGAGGTCTCTCTCTAACTTGAAATCTTTGGACCTGGTGGGTTAAGGATGTGTATCTTGCATTTACATACCTTCTATTCATAATGTTTTTAAAAAGAACCGCTCTGCATATATTATATAAATAACAGAGTGGGAATCAAAGGTTCTGAAGTACCATCTCCTGAATTCTCTTTTTCTACCTGCCCCAGCCCCTGCCCCCTTATCCCTGGAGGCTCCCCTAGAGCATAGTTTGAGAAACACCAAAGCAGCTTTGCTGGTTATGGTTGGCTGGTCTTAAGAAGCAGCATGCACCTTGGCTGTGTTCCAATTCTGTGTTGGCCCTCAGGTTGGTATCACCCCAGTCACTCAACATGTGTGCATGAAGTGACCCAGACAGTGGTCTGGCTGCAATCAATGGAACCACTCATCACTCGGGACTTGTCAAGTATCCTTTGCAGAGGCTCAGTTCAAAGCCAACACCCTGTACATCCCGGCTGGAACCCCAGGATTCTCTCTAGCTCTAGGCATGTACCTTTCAGTCTTTGTGCAAAACACCCTGTACATCCCTGTGGGAACCCTGGCACTTAGCTCTAGGCATGTACCTCGCTGCCACTACTTACTCTTTCTCATGCTGCTCCGCCCTTTCCGAAGAGACCCTTGTCCTGAAGTTCCTGTGCCAGCTGTGCTCTTCACAGGGTTAACTATGGCAGTGGGCACAAAGACAGATTTGAAGGGTCGGCTCTGCCGGGGATCACTTTCTGAAAAGCTGCCTTGGGAGGACACAGAAGAGGTGGATAATGTCCATGTGGCGTGGACACCAGGGCTCCGGGAATCTGGAAAACTAGAGGTCTTTCTGGTTGTTGAACTATATATTTTTTTTTTTAAAAAGAAGAAATAAAGAGAAGTTTCAGTCAAGAGTCCTATTTTTATTTTAAAGTCAGCTCCCAACAATACGCATGTGGCCTCTCCTTACCCTCTCCCTACTATATACATTTTTTTGTCACCCATAGGCCTGACTAAGTAGGTCCCAACTCTGTACACTTAAGAACTGTGTGGGTGCTGAGAGCAGGGGGAGGAACTCATGAGGTCCTGATGGAGCTAGAAGACCTGAATTCATCCTCCGCCACATCCTGATCATGCCTCACCCCACATTTCCTTCAGGGCACAGATCTTACAAGTGTTCAGTCTCTTTGCTGTGGCAAGTATTTATTTTGTGGCATTTCCACCAGATTCTAAACACTTTGAAGGTGGAGATTTCTAAGGTGTTATTTTATAGCTTTTGCATATATTATTGATTAATAAATGTTTATCTAATGACTGCTAGTCATTTTGGCTAATGTATGTAGAGTGCTTACCATATACGAGGCACTGGCCAAATACTTTGCCCATATTATTATGTGTTCTTTTTTCACTTTAAAAATATTTTTATTGACTTGAGAATTTCATATAATGTATTTTGATCACATTCAGATCCCCTCCATCTCCATCCCCATCCCATGTTCCCCTCCCCTGACTTCATGTCCCCTATTATTATTTATCTTTTTTAAAAAGGCCTATTGAGCTCCTCAAATGCTCTTGGGTGTGGATCCATCCCTTGGCATCTGGTCAACCTACGAGACATCACACCAGTAAAGAAAACCAACTCTCCCTCTCCCAGCATCTATCAGTTGCTAATAGAGCTTCAGCTAAGGCTGGTGCTACCTGCTCACCTCCCCAGTCCTTGCTGGGATTTTGTCTGGGTTGGGCTTGCACAGGTCATGTGCATGCTGAGCCAAGTGCTGTGGGTTCATATGTGTAACTACCCTATGATGTCCAGGCAACACAGTTTCCTTGTATTCATCTACTGCCGCCAGTTCTTACAATCTTTCTGTTCCCTCTTCCACAATGACCTCTGAGTCATGGGAGGAGAGGGTGTGATATAAGTGTCCCATTTAGGGCTGAGTACTCTGCAGTCTCTTATTTTCTACATGTATTATGATATTTTAAAAAAAATTTTAGTTTTATTTTCTATGTATGAGTATTTTGCCTGTATGTATGTAAGTATACCTGTGTCAAGAACAGCCAGTGCTTTTATCTTCTGTGTCATCCCTCCAGCTCCATATTATGAGTCCTTTATAGCAAGTTTCTGAAGTAGCACCGTTACTGCCATGACTTTATAGATCTAAAAAATATTCAGAGATTGTAGGGCTGGAGAGATAGCTCAGTCGGTAAAGTGCTTGCTGTACAAACAAGCATGAAGACTTGAGTTTGATTCCAGCATCCACATACAAAACCAGGTATGGTACCATGAACTTGTAATCTCAGTAGGGAAGGAAGGGACAGGTGGATCCCTGGAGCTTACTGGCCAGTCAGCATAGCATAATTGCTAAGTGCAGGTCTCAGTGAAAAACCCTGTCTTAAAAGACAAGGTGGATGACTCCTGAGAAACAACACTCGAAATTGACTTCTGGCCTCTGTGTCCACTTGCACATACAAGTGCATACCCCACCCCTAAAAAAGTACAGACTAATGGCTCCTTGCCCAAGCAGTTAGCAGACTGGAGATTTGAAACCAAGTCTAAACCTGCTCTCTGCCCTACTTCTTAACTATACCACACCTCCTGACAAGTTAGAGCAGCAGGAAAAACCTTTTATTGTGCTTGAAACAAACGAACTAAGGCAGCTGGTAGCCCTGCATGTGACTCTATAAGATGTTAACTCTTCATTCAGCCTTGGGCTGTAATTTTCAAGAATAGTATCAAAGGTTTATAAAACAACAAGCTCTTGTCCACTGTTTCTAGCCTGCAAAACCTGCTGAACTGCACGGCAGTAGCTGTCATTTGAAATGTCTTTCTTTCCTTCTTAATGACACAACCCTGACATCACATCTCCTGCCCGCAGTCCACCAATCACCATGCCACTTTGCTGATTAACTACTCTCTGATAATTTCATAGAAAAACTGAATTGAACCAATGCCCTGGCACAGAGTGCCCTCCTGGAGTGGAGCTTTCAGAACCCAGTACCTCCCTGGTTTCCTTCAGATTGTTTCTCCTCTCTGTCCCTCTCTTCTGCTTATTAAAAAAAAAAAACCCAATGTGTAGTATAATAATAAGCCAATGCTGTGTGAGATAGCTTATTGGCCATAATTAAGACATTGTTTAATTATGGCCAATGCTGTTCAAGAAGCTTTGCACCCAAATGCACTAAGAACTGATACATGTAGCAGGGACCTCTTATCCAAAGCTGTCAACCTGTTCTGGTGCCTGTGGTGTAGTATGGACAGAGAAGAGTGGAGTAGTCCACAGTGAGAAAACGAACTATAGCTTGGAGACCAGGGCTGGACAATGAAGAGGATGTTCAGCAGCGGCTGGCTTTCATAGCAGAGCGTGGCTGCTCTGTCTTTTGAACAAAAGGCCTCTAAGGAGTTGCATGCTGCAAAGTGCATTAGCAACAGGAAAGACTAGTTCCCAATTGTTTCCAGCAGGAACAGTGGCAGCAAGGACAGAATACAGCTAATTAGGCTCACACCAGCCTTATTCCACCAGTCTCTCCTTTGAATGACTGTTTATGGACTAAAGTATAAGTTCATTTTTTTTTTCTGAGCCCAGCACTGGGCTAGATTCCAGGAACTTCTAAATCACAATTTTCCTATCCAATACTGAATCCCTCTATGTCTTCTGGCAAAAAGCTTAGCACTTACCTATCATTTCCTTCCAACATCAAAGCCCTTTGCTAACATGTATTAATTAATCCCCAGGAAACTCCAAACCTGAAGACATTATGATCCTTATTTTCCAAAGGCGACTGAAAGACATTCTGGGCTTAAGTGGGAGGAGTGGATATTCTGATTTGCTCCACTGAATAGATCCCTATGTCCTTTCTCTGACTGGGATATTACAGCTTGTTCTATTTTCAAAGGGGCATTATACACAGGCATTCTACTGGGCTCACCACTGGAAGCAGCCTCCTGCTAAGGAAAAAGGATGGACCTTGACCATCTCCACACAGTCTGTGTGGAGAATTGAAGGCAAGGCAATGATGGTCCACTTGTTACTTTCCTCCACCCATAAGGTACCAGGCAGGCATATGTGTCTATGGAAGCTAAAATACAGAACCATCTTGGCTAATTAGGCAGAAGGGAATTTATTGGGTGAACAGGAGGAAGGCAGAAAGGACCTGGAAACAGGATGCAAGTGGGCTACAGAAGGCTCAGTGAGGAATCTGAGGCAGGAGCAGCAGATCCGGTCTCGCTGATGCTCTCACCATGAACTATCTTCGACTCCTCTGCATCTTTTCCTCTCATGCTCCAGTTTCAAAGTCAAAACGGGAGTGCAAGATTGACAGTGCAAGGCTGGGCACGGTGGCACACAGCTCTGATCCCAGGACTTGGGAGGCAGAGGCAGGAGGATCAGGAATTCAAAACTAGCCTAGTCTACATAGTGAGTTCAAGGCTACAGGAGATTCTGTCTCATGCTCCAAACACCCTAAAATGATTTAGCTGTGGATGAGGTGAGGAACACCTCCTACTGAGATTATGCCCACAGACTCAAGTGGATCTCGGTTTTATTCAGAAGGAGTTTGGATGCTGGATAGATGAAAGCTTAGCAATGGTTCTGTACAGCCTGAGCCTGTGGATGTCTCCAGGGTCTGGGAAGAGAAGAGACTTCATGGTGGTAGAGAATTAGTTGTGGTTAACAAGAGCTAGACAGGTTGGTGGCTGGAATTTTTTTTTTTTTTTTTTTTTTTAATGTTGGCAGTTAAAAGGCCCACTTATTGAATCTTAAATAAAAACCTTACTATTTTGGTCAATATTTTTGGACACAGAGTGTGCTATGTAGCTCTGGTTAGCCTGGTATTCATTATATAGCCTAGCTGACCTCAAACTCATGGCAAGCCTCTTATACCAGCCTTCTGAGTGCTGGGATTATAGGCATGTTTCACCATGCCCAGCTCTGGTAAGTTCTTATCTATAGTTAATCCCCAAACTCTGGGGTATGATGGTGTAAAAGTAAAGGTTCCAGTGCTCAAGGGACACCTCCTGTCCCGGAGCCTTGGTTGTTGACACTATACACCAAAGGGGCAGATGTTAGTGCAAACAGACAGGGGAGGAGTCAGGGGCAGAAAGGAGCCTTGCATCTGTAGTCCAGTCCACTAGGTTCCCACACATAATTTCTTGGTAATAGTAGTAGAAACTAAGCCGACAAAGGACACCATTTTTCAGCCCCGAGAAGTGGGAGGAGAAACGTCCCACAGTGGAAAGGTTGAGTAGGAACAAGGGCCAGCTGTACTCAGATGGACAGATTCAACACATGCCATTCATGTTTAATATTAGTGAGACAGCTTTCTCTAACACTCAGATCCTTGTTACCCAATAACCCACAGGAACACAGGAGCTTATTCTTCTTGGGTATGCTGCTTCTCCATGAGAAAACCATATCCCTGCTTTAGGAGTACCTCAAGATCTGCCAATGTTCGGATTTCTGTGAACTTGGAGATAGGGCTCAGCTTAATAGCAGTCTATGGTGCTAAAACTCCACTAGTCTTAGCATGGAGCCATTTCAGAAGTACATGACCTGCCCATGGGCACTGGGTGTCTACCCAAGAGCAAAGCCAAGGAGAAAGAAGGGAAGCAGGGGCACCAGGCTGGAATCCCACATCACAGGGTGTCCACACGTCCTGATTGTCCTAGGAAAGCCGAGGCCTTTCCTCAGTTTATAGTTGCTCAAAAGCATCCTTGGTTAGATGATAGATATATGGTTACTCTCATTCTAATGGTTCTTTGATGACATATCCATGATTCTGGGCTGTCTGCTGTATAAGCAATGGTTTTGGTAGGTAGGCATGGGCCATAGACCATTCATGTTAGGTCCCATTGAAAAAAACTGCTCCTAAGTCAGGACAGGCATCCTACTTGTTCCTCATGCCACTTCAGGATAAACGCCAGTCCTTTCCAGTACCTATCAGCTTTGGCTCATAGTATCAGACTCTGCTATGGGATTAAAACCAAATCATTGTGACCTAGGAATTCTAGATGACTTGGCCCCATTTACTATTCTGACCTCATTTCCTACTGGTTTACTGCTGTCACCTGCTCTAGCCCAATCCAGTTGGCCCTCATGCTAGGCACATTCCTACCTCAGGGCCTTGGGACTTGCTGTTCCTTTAGCCTGGAATACATTTCTCTCAAAGATCCAATTGGTTCACTTCAATTTCCTCATTTTCCTGTCTTCTCAGTAAGGCCAACCCTGGTCAACATTCCTAAGCTTAAAACTCTATCCCACAAATTCTATATCTTGCTTGATTTTTCTTTGTAGCCCTAACAGTTACCATGCCATA